GAAAATATGTGAACTATCCATCCAATTATATGATTTACCTCAATCCTGCATGTCATCATCAATAATACACAAGTGCGATACTATAATCCATGTGTCTTAGCCTTTATTTTGCTTTAAATGTGGCGATGAGTCAGTTATTAATAGTTTGAATGGACCTCAACGTGTGTTTGTGGATTGCCCGTATGACACATTTAACAGTTCACAGGATTTACTGTAAGTTACCTTGAGAGAGAAGTAAAATGATTCCCTCACACGCAGGTTCTTGCCCTCTCTGACTTTGTCAGGCTTCAGAGAAACAGAAACCTGCTCAGAACTGACAGTCTCCTCCTCCCAGAGGAGCAACAACAGAAATCTGCTTCCAAAAATATCCACTCCAAATACAAAGATCTAAAAATACTTTTCCCAAAAAGTGCATTTGAGCTAATTTAGAAGAGATCAGTCATATGGTTCGTGCAATGTAACTGTGACATCTATAAATACAGAAGGTTTTGATTAGAAACATCTGGCATCTATATTAATACCACATGCGTGTGTTATTGTTGTCCATTGGAACATTACATTCTGCAGAATTCATTGAGTACAATCGAATCACATGTCTATGTGTCTTGGTATGTGTTAGTGTCTTTAGAGGAAAGCGCCAAGGCTGAAAACATGTTTTATCACTGATATTTAATTAAGAATCATTGGTAGTGAGTCTTAATACTGTGTGTGATTACTATACTTTGTGCATATCAAAATGTATAATATAGCCTAATATAATATTACCAAGTACTTAACAATCCCTTTTGGTAATCTATCACATACACAATGTGTAACTTTGCTTAATACATTTGAATACATATTAATTAAGAGAAAAAAAGAAAAATTCTATAAAAATGTTTGCATTTAGATAAAAGATATAAAAATCCATAAATTAGGACAGCATATATCCATTTATAATATGCATCTTTAGTGGCATTTAAATATTCCAAGAATAATAATTTTTGGAATATTTGTATGCTACTTCTACTCCACTACAATTCAGAGGTAAATCGTGTACTTTTACTCTACTACATTTATTTAATACTTTGTTACTTTTCAAATTGTTATTTGATGTGAAATATCAATACTTAAATAAAACTTTAGCTACACCTGGAGTAAATTCACAATCTAACCTGCAGTACACAAACTCATTAAAACTAGCTGCACCTTTACCAGCTTTGATAAACACATTAATGCATCAATAATTATAATTAAAACATATAATATATATTATACTTTAAGTACATTTTGATGCTAATACTTTTATACTTTTATATCGCAGGATTTGTACTTGTAGCAGAATATTCATACACTCTGCTACTTCTACTTTTACTAAAAGCTCTAAGTACTTCCTCAGTGTTGTTTTAACTGTACTATTTATTTATTTTCTGCCACTGTTTGTCTGTTTAGACACTTTATAAATATTGACATAACCTGCAGCATTAGGCAATGTTAATACCAGTGAAGATAATTCAGTAAAACATGTTGCATTGTGATCAGTCAAGCTGCAAGGTTTCTCTGCAGTCAAAGAATTACACAACATAACTATACTATATCGATTTTAAAATGTTATAAAAAGTACATTATACATTTAATTCTAATTAGTGAAGTAGTAATTGTAAACTATGGCATATCAGTACAGTATAAGGTTTTTTTCAGGAACATAGGCATGGTGTCTTTTGCACCTGCTAATCTTGATAAATGGTTTATGTAAATGTTTACCCAGTGACTCAAATGTGTCCTAGCGTAGTCAGCCAAAAAACCTACTTCAACTGATGTCCCATCTCCTGCAGTACTAGGCAGGGGTTTGACATGGGGAGAGGTGTAAGTGAGAGGAGGTTGAGGGGGAACCAGGGGTTTGGAGAGAGGTGAGTAAGAGATGAGTCAACATCCATCCACTATAAGATATCCTGATGGAGCCTTACATTGGCAAACACATAGACACCCAGCAGAGGTAAGGTCAACTCTCCTTTCCATCTCCATCTCTCCATTACTCCTCATTCTACTCAGCCATCTTTGTTTCACTGTCTGTAATCACAGTCACACTTTCACCTGTAACTTTTTACAGCTTTTTTCAGTATATTTATCGCTGGATTTATTTGTAAAATAGTTTGTTGTGTTTATAGAAAAAACGAATTATATTTGGATGTAATGTGTGAGGTTTTAAAGCTCACACAACACATGTAGCAGATGTTTAGAAAGTAGAAATTGAGAATTATGTTGGCCAAAGTCAGTGATCTTTGTACCCATTTCTAATAACACATATGTATATGCCATTATCTTACATGTACTGGGAGGAAGCATGTGTTTGATGATAAAAAGGTGACATGCATACATGAACTAACGCCTGCTGTGAGATGACAACAGTGACAGCAAGTGATGGATACACATTATTAGGTAGAATAACCTGTGTATTCTTCTTCACCTAGGAATACCAGTGCTATTCCATATTTGGTACATCCAGACACATTCTACAAATATGGACAACACTTTGGCGCTCCTGTTTCCTCTGCTGTTCATCTTCAGTGTGGGTACAGCTGCTCCTCTGCCAATGGACGTAGTAAACATGAAATCAACAGTTAAGCGGATTTCTGAAACGTTGGTGAACAGTCTGAACCAACACTTACAGGTAACATTTATTGTTCTGTTTGCGATGGAAATCATCAACAGTTGGATGAGTTATTTTGACTGAATCGTGTTTTGCCTTTAGATGCAGGACGAATCAGGTAGGATGCTCAGTCCACCTGCTGCTGATCTGAATGGACCTTCCTCCATAGTGATCGTCTTGGAGGGTTTTAATCGCAAGATAAGTAGTGATTCCTACTTTGCGGTGACGCAGACCAAGTCTCATATCTCTTCATTGACGAGTTATGTCAAGGAGTGGATGAAGGCGCAATGCAGTGAGCAGCAGCCCAGAGGTTCAGAGCCAGCGTCGCTGCTACGGCTGAAACAGCGGAGTCGACCGGAGTTCTTGGACACTGTGAGCACCGAGGCTCTCATGAGAGTAAGGGAGTTCCTCAATCTGCTACTACAAAACCTGGATGATCTTGAATCTTGCTGAAAGACAGACCTCTGGACATTTTGTGTGAAAGATGTGTCCGCATATGGCAATGTTGAACTTTTGCAATGTGTTTGAAAGGAAATGTATTCTTGCACTTATGTTATTTATATACAAATTTATTTATTTATATACTTAAAATATGTATTTTATAACGTATTCATATTAGGATATTTTATTTTCCACACAACGTTTCCATGCAAACTGATCTGTACTCTGCAAAGAGATAAATCCTTGTTCTGTGATATGACACCACTGTTGTATCAACAAAGAGCTCTGTGATCAAAAGGTGGACCTTTGCATTCATTCAGTCATGAAGCTGATCAGGCTGGCTGCAGCAGAGGAAATGTCACAAATCCAGGTTGACACTTAACAAGAATAACAGATGTGTTTGTATGAGAACTACAAGGACAGGAAGGGCAAAGGGCAACTTTCATTTCAATGCAATGTAATCTGTTATTCCAGAATTGTTATTTACAACTGTCGAGGATATTTTATATATTTATATATATCTAGACTTTTTTTAAATAAAACTGAATAAATATTTACAGAAAGTAGATGTGAGGATATGTAAGTTTGTTGGTGTTGTGCAATGAGTTTTGGCGAGATCAGAATGAATGAAAAAAGTAACATAGGCCAGGTAAATACACCCACACCGTGGTGTGTGGTTTCTTCCTACTCTTGTATTCAAGTTTCACGAGTGGGACGATGAAGAGCTATCAGCTAATGATTAACAGGGACTGTTATTTTAACAATATGGCTTATATTCAACTGACTTCAAATATGTGAATGGGACGAATACGGTTTTCATATAAAAAAGTAAAGATTATAATAAAACACCAATTCAAGGGCTTTTAATTTCATTTTTTTCCCCATAAAAAGCCAAGTATATGAAAAACAACCACACTTAGTTTATCAGCTTGTTTTAAAAGAACAGTATGGGTTACAGAAACGCAGGAATAGAATGACTGAAGTTAGGTGACAAACATTTCACAGATTGGCATCACATACTGTGAAATCTGACACAAAACTAAATAAGAACCACTGTACTTATTTTAAAACATCAGGATGTTGAATGTAGAGGACCTCTCTTGTGTTAATCTTAAACACTTAAGATTCAAACACATTCTCTCTCCACACTCATTCAGACACAAACACACAGCTTTAACTATCAAACCACTTGTTCTTTCTGACGTCGGTGTTCTTGTCACCGTTACCCATCAGCTTCTTCTTGTACTGCTCCACCAGGCTGTCAAACCGGTCCCCGTCCCTTCTCTTAAATTGCTTCTTTCCCGTATTAGCCTTCTGGAAAACAACAAAATGAAGAAAGTCAGAAACACATTTTACATTACATTGCATTTAGCTGGCACTTTCCTCCAGAGGAACTTACAATAAGAGCAATAAACCATAAAGATTCAAACTAAGGAAAACAGGAAGAGTGCTGACATATTTACTTCAAACAACCATTGTAAATTAAACTCTGAAGTGAGTTTTTTTATTTTTTTATTATTCGCCATCAAGGTGGGTATTCAGTTTGCGACGGAAGATATGTAGACTTCACTGTCCTGATATCAGTGGGAAGCTGGTTTCACCATTCAGGAGCCAGGACGGCAAAGAGGCGTGTCTTTGCTTTAGTGTACCTGGTTCCACTTGGCAGTAGCAAGCCGATTGGTAGATGCAGAGCGACTTGCACGTGCTTGAGTGTATGGTTTGACCATGTACTGTTTTAAAAAAGTCAAATAGTACTCCTGGCAAATTTACATTGATAATCATTTGCCAACCGCATGTTGTGGCTGTGTGTATCTACAGATATATTTCCTTCTGCCTGGAGTTTCTAGGCAGTTAGAGTTAAAGGTCTGGAGCACCCAAGAAGAAACACTAAACCTTTTCTCGCTTGCTGAATTGCAAGGCTATTAAAGAAAGTTGACAAAATGTAGTGTCCTAAAATAACAATACTTCAGTGAATCATCTGCAAAATGTGTTTATGCTTTAAAGGTCCCATGTCATGGCCATTTCCACTGATCATAATTCCATTGTTGAGGTATACTAGAATAGATTTACATTGTTACATTTTCCAAACTCACATTGGTTTCTCATACAGCGTCTCTGTATAGTATGTGTATTCACTCTGTCCTAAACGGCTTGTTGGAGCTCCTGCCCCCCCCCCTCCCTATGAGCCCACTGTGCTCTGATTGGTCAGCTCGCCCACTCTGTTCTGATGAGGTCACCACCGTTACATCAGTGATTATGTGTTACAATAGGCACATTCACACCGCAGTACTTTTCCCACAAAGGTTAATCAGAACTTAGTTCATGAGAACTCTTTAGTTCTCATGAACTAAGTACAGATCGCGTTCACACCGGAATAAATCCCTGAGGGAGGATTAGGCAAATAAAGCCGCTGACTTCTTCTTCTGCTTTGGGTTTACTGGCAGGCCGCAAACAACTGCCACCCGAAGTCCCCGGAGTTGGGGACTGGCTTCAGTAGAAGCTGCTGGGACTCCCAGCAGCTCCTCATCTCCACCACTCACGTGTTTTCTTCTGTATTGCCATAAGTTAGTCTATGTCTGCGTTTGTGCGCTGGGCTAATGCTAATAATGCTAATGCAAGGATAATAAAATGGCGGCTTCACAAAACTTTTTTTGAGTTTTACGGGGCGTGGTTTGCATTCCGCCCAGCCAATCAGACATAGGAACCTTTTTCTCCCACGAAAATACCTGCTCTCTAGCAGGGACTGGAAAGGGGGTAAAAAAGGTTCTGATGAACTCATTTTAGTTCCGGCTCTTTTTGGTGTGAACGTGACATTTCGAAACTATATCGGAACTAAAGTGGGAAAACTACTGCGGAGTGAACGCACCTAATGGCGTTCCCAACCAGAAAATGACACCAGTAATCACAAACAGATGAGAATGCTGCGTGGGGTCTGGGTGCCGTGTTGGCGGGACGTTGCGGGGCTCGCTGCGCCGCCCTTTGAGACTCGAGGAGCCGACAGTGTGAGCTGTATTACTGGTGTCGTTTCCTGGTTGCTGCGTGGGGTCTCCGAGACAGCGAAACTCAGCCTGAACTCAGCCTGAGCACACATACGTGAGTGTGTGGCGAACTGTGAGTGGAGATCCACGCAGCTGCGGCTGAGAAAAGATAAAGCCGAGTGTGCCGGCGAAACTCGGCGGAATATCGCGGCTGAGAAAAGATAAGGCTGAGTGAGTGTGTGTGTGTGTGTGTGAGGAGCTCCACGGATTGGTCCTGGGTATGGTCACGTCACCGTACCCAGGAAGAAGAAAATGGAAAAAGAGAAATCTCCAACGAGGCGTTCTGGGGCAGCATAGACAGGTCTTTTCTGTGTTAAAGTTTTACTCGCTACAGGGTGTACTTTGAGGGTTTGTGACTCTGCAGACCGTTTACATGCAGAAAAACCTTCATAACACACGTGGGGACGGGTAATAACCGGAAAAGCATGACATGGGACCTTTAATGCAATTCACCTGGAAGTTATACACTTTTTAACAATATCCACAGTGTAAAATAAAACATTTTTACCATCCACAGTCTTAAGATTTTTTTGTTTTAAAAGCTTTCCAAAGATCTATATTATTCAGGTATTTTAACAACAAACAAATCCACTAACCAAACCATTGGAGAATGTCTCATATTCTGCAGGGATTTCTTTGTTACCTGCTCATTTTTGACAGCAATGCCAACCAATAAAATAAAGAGTTTAATTCACTGATCAATATACCGTCTTGGTCACAATTGTGTTTGCACCATCACACAACTTAAGGTTTATTACACAATGTTTTGTTACCCACAGAGGGGGGGGTGAACATACTAAAGAATAGGTAAATGTTTAACCAAATGAATTCCATTTTGTTTGGTCCTGGGTGTAAGAGTTTTTAAGAGCTTTAAAATTAGAAGTGGACCAGCTACTGTTTCAGCATTTTGTGATAAAGGGGCACCTCAGCAGCTCTTTGTGTCGAGATGTTTGTGATCATGACCCGAGATTACAAATAGGAATATGCAATGCAATTTGTACAAACCTGGTTTCTGGGCTGTGTGGGCTTTTCGATCTGTTGTTTTTGACGATCTTTCCTTCCTGTTCCGGGCCGAGCTTTCTTGGGTGGGGGGGCCTGCGGCTTTCCTTTGTCACGCATCCTGCAAAGACAGCATCGTTCACAAACTGCAACCTTAGCATGAGGGTCACTGCTGAGTCATATTCACTCTTGACATTCCTCTACTCTTTTTAAGGGTTGTTTGTAACATGACAGCCTAACAAAGGTTACATCATTTGCCCAAGTTGGGAAACACTACTACAGTTTCTACAGACATTTTAAAAACAACTTTACAAAAAACTAAATTGAAGAAAAAACAGCTAAAATTGTTGTAAGGTTTTAACCATAGACTGTGTATATAAATGGACGTAAGGTCCGTGACGTCACCCATAGGATTCTGCAGAGTTGCCGAGAAGCCCTTAGTAGGCGGAGTCGGCCACTAACGGCTCGACAGTGACGTCGATTTTAACTCCCGCCCGCTCCAAATAAGGGCAAAGAGGCGGAGCCGAGGCGGGACAGGGCAGGACCTGCTGACAACGGATGTGAAATTCCAGACCTAGCTCACGCTAAGAAGCTAAGCTAATATGCTCCCAGTATTAAGCTAACAACCCAGCTTGCGGTTCATAATTGTAAATCCTTAATTCCTCCCACCTCGGGAAATGTAACGTTGTCACAGAAGAGCAAATACAATAAATAAGGGATAATGTACAGCAAGGCGGTCATTAATGAAGAAAAAAGCCGAAGCTACGAGAAGCTAGCGTCGGGCTTTCTTCAATAATGACTTGCTGCAAACTATCCCCTACTTAACATATTAACAGGTTATACAATCTATGGATTGCACCCGTAAATAATATCTAATTAGTACACAAACATATAAGAACAATTGTGGCGTACATAATTCCTTTGGCTGCCTGCCACTACCACGTTCCCTCCCTGCAAACAGCCCGCCGCAGTTATAGCTCCGAAGACCTATAGCTCTCCCGGCCGGAGCTCTGTCCAACCCGTTAGCATGATTAGCAGGTGTATGTTTTAGCTTAGCTCGTTAAACAGCTAATTAGCCACGGTTGGTAGAGCTATGGCTCTGGCAGTCGGTAGACCTACCGACCGGAGCTATAACGGCCACCGGAGCCATAGCTCTACCGACTTCCGGAGCCATAGCTCTACCAACCGCGGCTAATTCGCTGTTTAACGAGCTAAGCTAGACAAATACACCTGCTAATCAATGCTAACGGGTTGGACATATTTATATATATATAAAATATATATATATATATATATAAAATATTAGAATTATACTCACCGAAAAAAGTGCAAAAGAGACTTCTTGGAATGTCGATTAGTACAATCAACCGCACAACAAGACATTTTAATTGTCTTATACTTAACAAAAGACACGAAATCCACGGACACGTCCGTTGGGTCAAGTTGGGTCAATACAACTAGCAAAGCCTAGCCTATGAGCCTACAGAGCTGACAAATTGCTGTTAGCCGACAGTGAGGCTCGTACCTGTCACTCAAAGTGACCACGCCCTAATTTATGCATAATTTTAAGACTGAATATTAATTAAACAGATGAGTTGAGAAAAAATTCACTCCAGGATCCATAGACAGGAAGGGGGAATCTAACTATACTGAGAATAAAATGTTTTGAAACCACGATGTAAACATGTTTATTTCTGCTGTAAAGTTGGGCATTTTAACATTGTGGTCTATGGAAATTGCTACCTTCTGCAGACTGCTCCTACTGGCCACTAGATGAACTGCAGTTTGAGGCACTTCCTGATTCGCATCCCGGAAGTGGCCCAGAGTTTGCCGCTTGTTTTTAACACGTTGTACACAAAATACATTTAGCGTGGTACTTGATTCCCCGATGCTGTAAAAATATTGGTTGAATGGGAACTTTTTATTGAATTTGTATTTTCCCTTGTTGTTGATAGCTAATCTCCCTGCCGCAAACATATGAGTTTTGTTGGTTTCACTATTTTGAACTGTGCGACAGAGGCATAGGGAAAACATTTTTTTTTTTTTTTTTTTTTTTAAAAATGGATGTTACCAATTATTTTAAGATTTTTAAAATGGTTAATGACATATTTGAAAAGGCCTTATTGTTGGATTATTAATTCAATGCCATTTAGAAATGTTAAAGGATCAGCAGGAACGCTGACTGCTTTACATTTGTAGTAATCTAAGTAAATGTAGTTTTAGTTATTTAGTGCTTGGCTCTGATACTTTTAACAGTACACTAATGGCGCATTTCCACTACACGGCCTCGCTCTGTCTGGCTCGGCCTCGTTAAGCCTTGTTAGGACTGTCTCACTTTTGGTGCATTTCCACTACACGGCCTCGCTCGGTATGGCTAGGCCTCGTTAAGCCTCGTTAGGACTGGCTCACACATTTCCATTACAGTTTAGGAACTGGGGTAGTATCTATAGTAACGCAGTGTAGCCGGAGCCGTGACGTCATCTTCAATGAGAACCCCAGAAAAACAACATCAGCCGTTAGCTGTTAGCACTCAAGCTCACAGCTCCTCATATCTCATATCTAGACAAAAGTTAAACAAGTACAAACCACAGACTGTGTGTCATGGAGAATACAGTTGCTGGTTTATTTATGTCTGTATAGGCCGTTGTTGTGAGTGTGGACGGTCGGAGCATAGCCGATCTCCATTTAGACAACACGCATTTTAAAAGGTTTTTCGCCTGCCGTCTGTCTGCAGACTTGTCAAAGCATTAATTCATGGTTTTTACTAACCGGTATCAGTATGTTGTTACTTCGGCATCATTTTAAAACGTGTATTACAATTAAATCACGGTCAAATATGTTCATCTTGTTGTAGTTGTAGGCCCCTTGCCAGCGATTCTCTCTAGTTTAGCATACTCAGCCTGGTTGTTGGCCCGGAAAGAAAAACTGTGAAATAGTACCCGCTAGCCGGTACTACTCCAAGTGGAAACGCAACCAAAAACGGGCCCCGCACGGCTCGGCCCACTTAAAGAGAGCTCCGCGCTGTAGTGGAAATGCGCCATAAGACAAGGCAAGTGAGCAAAAACCACAAACATAATGCTGCCAAACATGTTGTTATTTTTGTATTGGTATTCTTTTTGCCTGGATACTAAGAATACTAAGAATTGCTTTGTGGAAGCTAATGGGATCCAAATACAATTGTATACACCAATTGTACACAGCTTGGTTGTTAATAAATAGAGCTAGATCTGTTTTACACCTTGTTATAGCTCTGTTGTTTTAAATGTCTCAATTGTTCATGCATATCCTCAAAACACAGCGCATTGTACCTGATCTTAGGCCCCCGATGGGAAGGGAAGGCTAGAACCTTTCTTCGTTTCTTCCCGTTCTGCAAATCCACATGTTCGACCTCAGGTTTCGTCTGGAAGCCTGAAAACTGTCCGGACTGCTTCTGGTTTTCAAGAGGCGCTGATGAAACAAAAAAGTGGACAGAGTTAGTGCTGTCAAAATTATCGCGTTAACGGCGGTAATTAATTTTTGGAATTAATTGCGTTAAAATATTTAACGCATGTGCAGAATGGCCCGCCCCATACGTGCCACCAGTGGCAGCGCCAGGGTATGGCTGGGGTAGGCTACACCCATACCAAGAAATGGCTTAAAGCTAAATAAAGTCTGCCAACTCGCACAGAGTAAATTGCACAGACAGCAGTTAGTAAGATTGATTTCAGTAGCCACGGTTTTGAAAACTTTTGTCACGTAGTGATCGTCTTCTCAATAGAACATCTTTGATAACGGCGTGGTGTTGTTGCAGGAAGTCCCGACGGAGAATACTTTTGCTGTAGTAAAGGGGTGCACATAACTGGTACGCAGGTTATGTGCGTAATCTGAAATGCGTACCGTCACTTGTGTCACAAAGCGCATTTGCGTACCGACGTACTTGTGAAGCTTTTCCAGAAGGCGGTTAGATCACCGGACGACAGAGTCGGTCTCCGTGTGCACAGACAGGGCTGCTGTTAACGTCGGTCTGTACAACGGAATTGTGCCAAAACTACGCCAACCGGCTGCGGAAGGAGACCCCCCCCCCCCCTTCACTGGAGAACTGCACTAAAACAGCCAGACATTTTTTATAATAAACATAGATACTGTATGTTAAATGGATATATCCGCCTTCTTTCATTTATCTTTCCATTCCCACAACAATATACATAAATAAATGGCATATTTCGGACATAGTTCGAATGGTGATTAATCATGATTAATTCATTTTTAAGCTGTGATTAATCTGATTACAAATGTTAATCGTTTGACAGCCCTAATATATATATATATATCAAAAGCTTAGTTGATATTGATTGAGAGTTCAAAAGTCGTTAACGTCGAAGGAACATTAATACAGACATGATATCGTCGAACCTTTCTCGTTTCCAGTCTGTACGGATGAGGTCGCTGCTTTATTTCCATCTTTACTGGCCCATTTTCCATCTGCCGGTGTCTGAGGTTTCCCTCCTCCTTTTTGTAGCCGATTTTGTAAGAATTCCTTCAAAGACATACATTTGGGGTTAATTTGGAAATCAAAAATACAATTTAAAAAAGTATTCTTTGTAACCATGACATGAAATGAATTGATAGAAACGCACCTTGTTCCTTTGTTGACGGATTTCTTTTAATTTAAGTTTCCTTGTATCCTCCAGGGAGAACTCAACGATCGGTCTCTGCAGGATGATATCAAAATATAATCCGGTGTGAAAAATGAAATAATCACCACAGTGTGAAGTCAACATTTTCTAAGGCTAAATAAATACAGTGGCAACAAAGCAAAAACATAGCTCATAGTAAAACCGATAATAGATGTCAGCAAAAACCCACCTTGTGTGAGCCGAAGAGGTCAGGGTTGTTGTTAAGGTAACGAAGTGTGCTGAGAGCATGTTCGTGCTCTTGAAACTGGACGAAGCCGTAACCTAACGACTGTCCGTTCGACTGACCCTTTTCTGGCTTCTTGTCATACATCACCCGACACTGAATGAGAAACAGAGGTAGACACAGAGACAGCATGAACAAGAATGAAAACACCACTCCCTAGTGGACACACAGAGGCAGTGTTTTAAACTATGACGACAACATTCATAAACGCTACTGGCATAAAATGATGTCCAGGAAGGTTGCAAATTAATGATAATTGCTACAAAAAAAATACTAACAGTAGTGCTTCTCACCTCGTTGATGCGTACTCCTTTGTCCCCTTTCACTGCTTGGAGGCAGAGTGCTTTGAGTTTTTTGTTGTCCACTGACTTGGGCAGGTTATGGACACACAGACGATTCTTTGAAACAAACACATTTAAGCTCCGAAGCTTGGTCTTCTTTATTTCTTCAAACTAAGGGAGAGAGACAACACCAGAAATATCCTTCAATATAAAAGCAATCAGAGAGATGATGAGGGTAAGATTGAGCATTAAATAGATCATTCAGAAAGTAAAACTGTGTTAAATGGTTACTGAAAGATTAACTCACTCTGGTTCTTTTGGCCATGTCTGCTTCAGGGACATTCTCTGCAGGCTTGGTTCCAGCACGGATCACTGGGTGTGGAAGCAAAAGTTAAATCATAATGTATAGGAAAAGATTTAAGAGAAGTGACTACTCAGTCTATTTGTATAACTTACTAGGGACCATGCAAAGCTTTCTAAAATGTTGTTAATCTTACTAATAGAGGGAGAGAACTGACAGGGTGCAAAGAAGGAGAAAAGAAGAGCATGAAAGGGTGTACTCACAGCCCTCTCTGGCCAGGTAGAGGTTCCTGGTGCCTGTTTCTACTTTCACTTTGTCCACTTTCAGCTTGGAAGCATCCTCTCTGGTCACCGCTGCCACAATCATCAGCTTTCTGCCATCCAAACGGATACCAGCGCTCTGCAACAAATAACTCAATGTTACAACAAGACAGCAATTGCACAAAACTGGAAAACTAATTATTCCAGGACAAAAAAAACAATTATAGTTAATTACTCGGAATGTATTACCTCAGCCTCATCCTGTGATGCAGCCAGGCATTTGTCTGCAGCCTCTTTATTCTTAAACTGAGCAAATGCACAACCTGAAAGAAAAAGGCCAAAATAAGTCCATTAACCGGTTTTTGCAAACAATAAAGATAAAGAGTTTTTTTCATTCAAGCACTGGTAACTGACCTTTTGAATGTCCTGTGTCTGGGTGGAGAACAACCTTTATGTAATTAAGCTCTCCATACTTTAAGAGTATTTCCTCCAGATCCTCTTCCTCTGTGTCAAAGGAAAGGTTCCTAACACAGCCAGAAGGAAGATAAACAAAGATGGCAGTAAATAATTAGTGAGTAAGCATGAGTAGATATTTTGAAAGCATGTTTAAGATTAAGGAAAGAGAACAATGTCAAACCTGAGGAATATTGTTCTGCCTTCTGGTACGTCTGAAGGGAGAAGTTTCTTGGCTTTCTTCTTTTTGGCTGGAGATAAAGGAGCAGTGTCAAAACAACATTTTCATTGACATTTGTATTACCATTACATGCAAAAATAATAAGAGAAACATAAGCAGATAATTGATACCTGATTCTTCATCTTCATCATCTTCGTCATCCTCATCACCCTCACTCTCATCTTGATCGTCCTCTGAATCAAGGTTACTCTTATCCTCGTCGTCATCGTCGTCGTCTCCCTCTTGGGACACATCACCATCTTCTTTCTCATCGTCTGCCTCCTCCTCGCTGTCTTGTTCCTCACTATCATCTTCATCTCCCGATTGGGACTCCTCCACTTCAGGTTTGGTAGTGACTCTGTGAAGATGTTTTAAAGAAATAACCCGGTAAAGTAAACCAGTTTTAACCTGTTGACATATTAACAAAGCTTTACATGTGAGATCCACACTTTTTCTTTGCAGGAGCTGCTTGCGGCTTTTCTTCTTCCTCGTCTTCACTGTCACTCTTTGAGGCTGACGGTTTCGCTGTTGCCTCAGTAACTTTAGCTCCTATTAGGTAAACAAAAAAAAGTGTTATGAATAGGAATTATTGTATTTTAATGTAGACATGTCTTCTCATGAAGAGTAGGAGAAACAAGGCATTCATTTTCACTTTTTTCTGTGTGTTTTTGAAATATTACCTGCACTTGCGGAAGACTGTGTGGCGATAAACTTGTCCTTAGGCACAGCCCAGTCAATTGCTACCTGCCGACCTGTGAATGAAACAATGACATTTAAAAACACAGTCACAAGAGACGGACTAATTCTTATTTTCCAAATAATATGCAAACAATGAAAAGTGTTTCTCCCACAACAGTAAAATGTCTCACTGACTAACCTTTTATTTCCTTCAGGTTCATGGCAGTTAGTGCTTTTGCTGCCTCAGACACATTTTTAAATTGGACAAATGCAAATCCTCGCATCTTCCCATCTGTAGAAAAACATTAAAATAGGAAATAAGCAAACAACCAACTTAAGGGGCACACAATAATTGAACTATTAATTATTTGGATTATTTGTCCACCCAGTTAGAATAACAAATATTTTTACCAGGTTTGAGGGCAATTTTGTTCTCACGGACTGTTCCAAACTTAGAAAAAACTTCTTTTAGATCATCTTCCGAGCACTGTAACACAACAATTGTGACAGATCTAAGCAACTAGTGTCCCACTTTAACAGCATTTATGTCACTGAACTTCAGAGGATGGTTAAAAATGGTGCTTGTCAGTTGCTCCATTGCTCAACCATAGCGTACAGTACCTTAAAACTCAGGTTCCTGATGATGAGTCTCGCTTTCAGATGCGTTTTCCTAATGCCTTTGGTTTTTTCCTCATTTTCCTTTGGAGCTGGAACTGGAGCTGGCTCTTTAGGTGCTAAATGACAACATGAAAAAGTCATCAAGTAAACAAGGCGTGAAAGCACTCACAGTTGCTCTTATTCGGACATGTCTTTATACACACCTGTTTTCCTTTTGTCTTTTATTTTCTTCTTCGCCACCGATATTGAAAGCTTCTTTCCATCGAATTCTTTTACATCTTTCATGGCTCGCTGTGCATCTTCCTCCATGGAAAATGTGACATAGCCAAACCCCCGACATTTTTCAGTGCCTGGTTTATAATTAAAAGATAGGTTATTCGTATCGTTGCGTTTAAATAGATCTCTTGACTACTTCTTACTTTGATCTCAGGTAGAAGGGTTAGGGTTAGACAGTAAAAGAAAAATGAAATAGAAACAATTGAAATAGAAAATAAAACATAAGTAAAAGGAAAATATATAGATATTGACAATGAAACATAAATGTCTGAATATTTTCTGTCAAATATCGATATGAAGGGCCAATTTGACATTAGAACATTCTTTACATTAAGTGTTTAAGGAATAGCATATTACATACATATAAATGTTAACATTAGGCTATGGTACAGTGTGAAGACACATGTTACAGAAGAATGAACAACGTATTTTGCCTCCAGCTAGAGATCATTTTCACTTTAAAAGATTTAGACGACGAATAAATGACAGTACAAACATCACCTTTGTCTCTGACCACGAAGCACTGTTTAACAGGACCAATTTCAGAGAATATTTCCTCCAGTCGTTCATTTGAAGCTGAAGCTGGCAGAGAACCAACGAATAAAGTCAGCGCTGGCATGGCTCTGCTGCCGAGCTAACGCTAGCGGTTAGCAGGCTAACGTTAGCCTTTACTGGCTCGGTAATAATTCACAAGGTATCTCTTATATGTTAACAATCCCGTATTGGGTGTTAATATCCAACTATTTGATGTCACACGGATCTGAGTGGTAAATAATGCTCAAAAACTGTAAAGCTTGAACAACACTAGCTTTCAGATCAAGTCGCATGTTTACATGCGTGGGCAGCCATCTTGGAAATGTAACGGAAATGATCTCGAAATAAGCGCAGGCATTTACTTTGGAACGCCTGCCGCCTATCGTCCCGGAGGGTTACTCGTTTGTTTATGCAAACAGTTTGTTTTTCAGTGGTTCTCAACTTTTTTACTTAGGAAAAGTGGTATATAGTAGTGATGGCGAGATGAAGCCTTATGAAGCGTTGAAGCTTTCTAGCGAATTGGTTTGCAAAAGGGTTCATCTCATGAGGCTTCATCATGGGCTTCATTTGAACACAAACCCCCTGTTGGTCAAAGTTTGTAAAACAGGCAGATTGGACATCTCAACAGTGTGCTCTACCGAGTTCCCAATGAGTAAAGCCTTAGAATAACTCTAAACAACGAACATAAACTCACATTTTCATGTTAACAATATTGTATTTATTCCAGTTTAATGATTGTGATTGAAAAGCCTAAGGAGGCTGGTAAACATTGCAAAGAGGGATTTGTATTCCTTAATAATATTCGTAAACTTAACCATGTTGTAGCCTGAGAAAGGCTAAACCATATCAAAGACTATTTATTAACTACATTATCTCATTTAGCTGTAGCTTTTATAAATAACAAAGACGTATTGAACAGGCGTTGAACCAGGGACCCTGCCGTCGTGAGCCATCTGCTTTCCAGCTGAGCCGCAGCGCACACACACTGAATTCATCTGAAAACACTTTATACAATGTATTCCTGTATGTATTCATGTTTTTATTCCTACATTTATTTATGCTTTTATTTATTTATACTTATGACATGTTCCGACCTCTATATAAGTGAGGGTCTGAGCTCTCTTAATTCCATCGTGTCACCGGGCCCGGGTACAGGAGGGGTAATATGGTTCTTATTATACATCCATGGGTAATATGAGCGTTGTGGTTCAACCTATGGGTTCAACCGATCTGAATCGCTTTCTAAAGCAGTCACGTGGTATCGACAGGCAGCGAGGCTTCGTTTGTCATCGATGACGTCACTGGCCCAAAACGATACAAGCCTCGATACATGCTTCACAAAAAGCTTCGGGGATTACTCGACACACGCTTCGAAGCCTCGGCACAATACGTAACTTCACTAGTATATAGTAGCTCAGTACATTTACTCAAGTAGCCAACTGTAATTTATTGAGAGACTTGTGCTTTACTTGAGTATTTCAAATACTTTTTTTACCCCACTACCAAGTATATTTTTACTCCACTAACTTGATTTAATATATTTAGTTACTTAGCAGATTTTGATTAATGATGTGAAATATAAACAGTCATAAATAAGATTTTAGCTACACCTCGAGTAACATCGACAAGCTAACCTGCATACAAAGTAAATACAATAGCTGCCACTTTGTTAAACACATTAATGCATCAATAATCATAATCAAAACATGTAATATATTATTTGGAAATGGGCTTATTTGCATTGTGTTGACTTTTGTTAATTTAAGTTTATTTTGATGCTAACACTTTTGTGGTTTTACTTGAGTAACATTTTGATTACAGGACTTTTGTAACTGAGTATTCCTGCACTCTGGTACTTCTATTTGTACTTAAGTACAATATCAGAGTACTTGTCCCACCTCTGCTTAAGGACAGTTATTTTCTGTCATTGAGTTAACAAAAAACTCCTGAAGTGAAATATTTTATGGATAGTTCATATTAAATATAAAGCTTACCAGTGCACAACGACAGATAAACTGTAGGCCTACTAGTAACCCAACTAATGAGAAGGGTATGTGAGAAACAAGTATACAAAGATAAACAATACAGTAAGTAACATTGAATAGAAACATTCTTGTAATTTTATTGCACACAGAAATATATAAAATGTTCAACTTCTGAGACACAAAGCTTTACAACATTAGAGGCACCAACATCGATCTTCAACGGCCGCCATTTATACAGGTTTACCACAGTTGTATTATGGTGTTCATTTGTATGGTTTTATCAGCTTTCTGAAATCTACACAGGTAGCAACATTGTTCATAAAATAAAAAGGTTACAAGATATACACAAAGTAAATCAATATATTATATACAGTAACTGAAATAGAACTGACATTTTGCAATATGTTTAAAATGTTCCTTCTATGTTCAAAAACTTCCATTGGCATTTAATGTATTTATCAAACGTTAAATAAGTCAAAATTATTACTTGCTGCTTCGGTAGATTGTCTGGCACTGCCATTTATGCAGGTTTACCACAGAAGCTCATAAGTCATTATTCTAGATGCGCCATAGTGTTAACATTCCCAAAGTGGCATAATTTCAATTCCCTTTGTTCACTGTCACAGAGCCAGTGTGAGAAACTTTCAAATGCAACCAAAGCAGCAATTAGGTAGTTTACTTCCTGAGATTATAGCACTACAACAAATACTCTTTTCTTTCATGCTACAAAGAGCACTTTCTGTTGACAGAGAAAGAACGAGGTGTACCAGAGTTTCCCCTGGAACACACTCCCACAAAAGTGGTTATTGTGCAATCCTTCATGAATGTTGTAAACTCAGAACTGTTTTTCACAGCTGGAACATTTGATTAATCACTTCAGCATACCAAGCAGAGTGCATTTAAATACAAAGTGAAGGTCAAGTAAAGTGAAAAGAAGTTGACTGCTGAAGTGGACTTTTTGTCTTTGTAAATAACATTTAGTTGATGCCTGAAACAAATCAGATTTCTCGGTTAACATAATTCCACTGACTTTGGTTGTAATGATTTTCGTTTTAAAAAGAGCTTTGAATTGGAAAAAACAAATGAACAACATCTTTAACACATCTCTTTAGGAATTTAGGATCTGGGCACTCTAGTCAAGGCATCGTAATATACGTTTTATTTTTCTTCAAACCCATTCTGATGTAGACATTTGTATTATTACTGGTTTGGTACACATATTTTAAGTTCAACATAGTAAAGTCAAGCTAAAATGGCAATGTGTTGTAAAGAAATTATCTTACATCTTGGCCTTTAGCTGGGTAAAGCCAAGTGTATGTAGGTACATGTCTATGGTGGTCAGATATTCTTGTTGGTGCCTCTTCAGGTGACCGGCATGTGTTGATTCCTTCCACTTCTTTGCTGTGGTGTCTATCCCGCTCTTTCTCCAGCGATCAATTATCTCCTCCATGGCTCGTGGGTCGCTCATTGGATCGTTCTCGCAAAAGAAGAACAGTGCAGGAACGGTGATAGGGGTTTCCAAAAACGTATCAAGGCTTTTGTTAAAGTAGTCCACTGTCTGGCGTTTGAACATGCCAAAGTATAACATGCTTGCTTTTGTTACCAGTGTCTCCAAACGTGGAAATAAAGTCTTACCAAGACCTGGGCGAAGAGGACAAAAAAAGAGTATTATTTGAACTGAATAGCACTATTCATATGTGTATCCACATTTGATTTTTCAATCCAGCCAGTGTCATTTAGCATTATGAGTAATAATTGAAATTAAATTAGTTAATGTGTTAAATCATATCAATATTGAACTGACCTATGGCCATCGTCTCCACTGAGCCCACCACCAGACTATCGTAGACTTGGCCTTTTATCCTCTGTGTAAGGTCCTGATATTTCTGGATGTCCTGAGAGACATGTATCAGCAGCTGAGCAAATGTGTAGCCACCGATAGAGAAGGCATGGACAACCAGTGGGCGGGACATAAAGCGTTCGGTCTGGAGCAACTCTAGCAACCTCTTCCCATGATCCAGACCCCAGCGAGGCCACAGGAAGTCATGCACCTTGAGTAAAACAATCAGAAATAAATTAATGAGCTAAAATATGCCATTTGATATTGAATGTTTAAATGTGGGAATGATATGGCATGTCTGACAGCTATTTTGGGAATGGCAGGAGATGCTGAGTGTTTGTAAAGCAATAGCAATAGAGGTTCACAGCACTTAACCATCTTTCTGGTACAGATCACTGTGGAGCTTTCTTGTAACCGAGCGAGATTAACCCTTAGTGTTTCTTTCTATAACCCATTTGTACAATACAAATGAGCAATTCCAGTTTTTTAATGTGTTACCTGAATTGCCAAAATACATACTTACTAGAGTGCGCTCTCTTTTTTACCTTCCCTTTGTTCGCTCATTGTTATGTATTGTGGTTAGTCACCACCACCATGCTGGCACGCAGTAAGTCTGGCATAACACTACATGCACTCGTATGACATTAATTTAAAACCTGCTTAACATGAAATTAACCTTTGCACCACTGGAGGCATGAGTCTAATGTGTTGTTGCAATGAGTGCATTGCGGTCCTTACCGACCACAAACTTGTCCCTCACTGGTGATATCTAACATGAGTGTAAACAGTCATGACCCCAAGATCAGATTTGAGAAAAAATCCATACCATATACCATATTTTGCTTAACTCATATCTCTGAGGTTAATGATAACCTTTTTTTTAATCTTTCACAGGTATCAGTTAATTATATTTTTGTTTTGACTTGTTGGAGAGACAAAAGACACATCATACACATCTCCATTCTGATGTATTTTAAATATCACAATGATATGTCCTTTCAAAACAGTAGTTTTTATGCTGTTAACATTTCATCTTTAGTCATTTATAACATTAATTCAATTCAATTATTGTAAACATATAACTACAGCTATACATGCTTGTAATACAAAGCTGTTACTGGGTAATTTCCTCTTTGTTGTGTATGAATGATTTTTTTAGATAATTTTCTAAATGTGTATTTACCTTACCTCACTCTCCACAACAAGCACATCAAAGCCGGTACGGAAGTAGATTTCACAATATTTGGCCATAGCCTGAGGACGTGCGCCCAACCACGGTAGCATGAGCATAAGAGGTTTATGGTCTTTAGAGGCTTTGTTCTGACATCCAGACACTGTAGATTCTAATTCATTCACATAAAAAGTGACATTCTTACTGAGGTGGTGAGCAGTGATGCCTCGGCTCAAAACTGCTCTGCTTACCATAGCTGCTGTTGTCAGGCTTCCCATTGCGAGAAATGCAACAAGCGTCTGCAAAATGAAATAGGAAACAAGGGCACAAGAGTTAAATATTAAAATAATAATAAATAATAAGAGATCAACTCAGTGAAAGCACCGCCTGCTGACCAATCAGAGCTCAGTGTGCGGAGTTTAAAGCGATCAAGTCATATTACAGGAGAAAGGAAATACAGAAAAACTGCCGTTGCAGGAAAGACGGCCGGCAAAAATCACCGACTGTGTGAACGTGAAAATGAATAGAATATCACCTCCCGTCTTCAGAGCAATCTGACTATTATAACATTAGCGTTAAGAAAGCTTACTTAAATATCTGCCACAACATAAGTACACTGAGTGCAGACGTCGATGTGTCCCATTATCATTCATATCACATCATATCACATCATAATGTATCATATATCTCCTTATCTGAGTCAGCTTCTTGAGCCGTATCTGGCCGTGCAACACTCACAGTGTCACATACTGTATGCAGAAGTATTATTTTAAGCAACACAATAAGTTGACGAAACACTCGAGACAAATGTAATTAAAGTCAGATCGTGTTTTAGACGGGGCAGTGATATCATAAACCTGTTAATATACGCATTCAAACACTTTTTCTTTTGCCAGCTGTATTCACCTTGCAGGTGCAACTATGTGGCTTTTATCCTGGATAAAGTGTTTAAGTCATGGATGTTTAAAGTTTAACTTCTTCATATTTGACTAGTATTAAAGTTCACTTTTCATTCAGGAAGTATGACGCTGAGCTGTCAGTGTGCTTCTCCATGTTTATGATTGGTCGAATGCTCCAAATACCACCCCTTTCATGTGAACGCGCACCTAACTAGATAGGACACGGCTGGCTTGAGCGATCCACTTGATAACCAGCGTCGTAGTACAGTTTAGCGACAGCGCGTATGTTTTGGATTAGGCCAACCGGCTAACTCAAACATATCCAGGTTAGGAAAATCCAGCTTCGTAGTACAGGCCTCTGGTCCCGACCAGGTTAGCCGCACAGCATAAGTTACCATGGAGATCTAGCTTGCTAAAAAGAGAACCAGCTTCGTAGGACCGGAAACCAGACCCGGCGCCCGAACAAATCTAAAGGGAGGGCATATGATTTTCATGGGAGGGCACACAACACCGTCACGTGCTGCAGGCCTGCGGCACAATATATCAAACAGCAAGGCCAACAGCATTGCGCAAAGATGCACACTTATCGCAAATACATACACAAATAAAGGGCAACATAGAAACCACTTTTGAAACATTGTGTGCGTGGCAGCACAAACACTGGTAAATCACGAGCAAGGCACACTGGTTAAGGATGGCAGCTTCCTCATTGTTGCACTCCGAGAGAAATAGTAGAGACGGAGACGATGAACTGCGGTTAGCTCTATTATGGCATTGTGCATGTCGTGAGAGGTGTATGTTGCTGTGTGGGGAATGCTTTCCATTATTTTGGCCAACTCTGCATCTTTGTACTGCAGCGTATACTCAAACATCGATAGGAAGAGCCCACTGCCTGACTTGGACATGCTGCGGAGTGAATCGTGGTCACCTCTGAGAGGGAGTTGGTTGACAGCTAAAAAGCTATAATATCAACGACAGCTGACACGTAATAAGGGTTCCGTGCCAGCTGATCTGCACCAAAGTACTAATTTCCTTATTTGTTTCCTCGTGTATCTGTCTCTCTCTCCACAAACTCTCACATGAAATGTGTTCTTTTGATGTGGCATGTCTTAGCAGTCCTGTATCAGTCTGTAATGCGTGTTTCCAGTGGCAAAAACCTTTGACAGTAAAATCCGCATCAGATGAAGACGTATTTACTTTAAACTGTCTACAGGAGAAACAAAAGGCTGCGTCTGCTTTTAACGAATATTCAAGCCATGGTCTGTTGTTGTACCATGCAGTGGCAAAAGTGCGCTTCGTTCCTGAAAACAATCTCCCTGGAAAACGATCCAGTTTCACCTGGTTGGGTTTATTAACCCCAAGATCATCTGGGGCTGTTGGTCTTTGAGCGGTTGCTGGCCCAATAGTACCTGTTGATGTGCTGCAAGGTAGCGTCTGTAGTGTTGTAGTAGTAGTATAGGCACCAGCACGGAGCAGGAGGAGCGTCTGTAGTGGAGGAGGAGGAGGAGGGCGGGTGTGGTACAGGGTGTGGCAACGCAGGTGGTGATGGTAGGGGCACAAGGAGCTGTGCCTCGGAGGACAGCGTTGGTGGCGGCCGCCTTGATGAGTCAAGGCTTAGGCTCGCTAACTCAGCCCCGGGGTTTGCCGAGGTCAAGCTTGTGACATTAAGGCGTGCTGCTGCAACGGCAGGTGCAGGGTCGCCAGCAGCTGCATCGACTGCAGTTCTTTCATCGCTATTTCGTTTTAATAAATCCTTAGACCTTTTGAGCCAATTTCTGATGTCCATTGTGTAATTCAAACATAAATGGGAGTCTACAGAATGCACAATAAACAAATCCAGAATAGGCAGCAGAGTGTGACGCTGTGATTGGTCTAAATGTGGACGAATCACAAATCACAACAGACACATGAATTTATTTGACGTAGCCTGCGATTTTTTTGTTTTAGTTACTATCTGACATCACATACATCGTAGCATAAAAGTTCACACTTTATTTATAATAAAAAAAATTAAAGAAAATATTTTTTTATTTTTATAAATAATAAAACTCGTGTTTATTGGGGGAGGGCAAGAATGTCAAATGGGAGGGCCTGGCCCTCCCACGGCGCCGGGCATGCCGGAAACCCCGAGTTTTCCCTGAAGTTAGCCGGCTAAGCGAACATCTTGCTTCGTAGTATACCCCCCTGGTGTGTCAACTAGGCTCATTTTTAGAGTCCTCTTTCTGTTTCTAGCAGTAGATTTGCGCCCTTTTGGCTCCTTTGTTTGGCTTAGGCTATTGTTTTGTTTCATCTTGTTGTACACCTTCATTGTTATTTATTAAACCCTATTATAATTCTTACCAAATCCATTCTGGTGTGTGTTGTTTTCCTCTACCCTAGAGGGGGACGTAACAGCTATTTAACAGGAATGAGACTTTTCAATAAAAGGAACTGCTTAATTTTCATAGGCCAGGTAGGTATTTCCAAAAGCACATTATTGCAGTGTAAGGTCAGTTAAGCACAAATCCAGTCAACAAAGTCAGTGTTATTTTCCTTGTAAGCTACCCTCTCTCAATTACTTTTAGCTCCCTCTGGTTTGTTTGTTTGTTTGGTCTGCTCTCATTTGTTGTTATTCCTCACCAATGCCAACGTGACTTCTTGCGCAATATTTTACTTTGGCTGCCTTACACAATAATTATGGATTCTTCAACTTTAAAGAGCATTTTAAAAACACAGAAAATAGCATAAGCAGCAAATATATGAAAAATAATGTAATATTAATATTAGCCTAATTGTATTTTCTAGAAACATTCTGCGAGATACAGCATTGGTCATATCAATGTTCATATAAAATAGAATAAGCAGTCAAATACAATGAAAATATGTGTCTGTCCAGTATAGTAATACAATGCTGAATAGATTTGTGAAAAAATGTTTTTCTTTCAAATATATGGGGGGAAATGCATGACAAATCAGTAATATAAATGTTTAACACATGATGAAAAATTAATCGTGGTTGTTTTAGCATAATTTCCACTAATTTGGGCAAGTTAGGAAGGAGGTATTGAAAATAGCATTCGTATTGTGTCATTTGGACGGTCATTTATTGATGGTCCCTAAGTGAAACCCTGAGGATAACCACGAGTTCTCAGATGTGAGTCTGAGGGAAGGAGGAAGACGCCTCTGGATCCGAAGTGAATGTATGTCGAATTATCAACCTGAAACTCACTTTGCCGCGGTAACCATGTTGCTTAGAGATAACGTTTACTCCTACATCGGTAGAATGGCATTATATTGTTAACGATGTGATAGAGACACAACTTTGATTCATCTTAGTGCAGATTCTCCCACACGTTAATACACGTAATAGCGTTAACACACAACAACTCACGAACGTGACGATAATTATGGAGATCTGAAAAAAGTTAAAACGCAAATTAACTCCAATCTCAAAACGGTTTGTAAACGTTTAGCAACTAACTAATTTATCCGGTGGCGTTGTTACTAACCTGCTTTTAGTTGTGTGCCCGTGATGCTTCTGGTTATTGAGTGGGCTTTCCCAAAGCAAATCATTGCCAGCTAAAGGCAAATAGTCTACTGTCGGCAAAGTCAGTTTTTTTCCGTTTGAGTAATCCTCCCTCAATGACTTTAGCTCCCTCCTCTTCCTTCTTCATGCTTGTTGTCTTCAGTGAGCAGTTCAGCGAACTGCTGCCCTCCTTCGGCGATAACGTGTTCCACTAACAAGCTCTGCAGACAACGGATTTGGCTGCTGACCAATCCACCCGGCCATCTCCATCACTATCTACGATAATAGTGTCTAAATGTTTTGCTTTAGAGGTCAAGAACTGAAACGCAATTATGGAGCTAATTTCCTACCATAACTCCACAAACAAACTAAACAAGTTTTACAAATGCCTTATGATTCACTCAGTGGCGCCAGCAGGGGGGGCCAGGGGGGGCCATGGCCACCCTGATATATGTGTTGCCCCCCCCACTGGCCACCCCACCACACACGCCGCCTCGCCAGTCACATATGCATAGTAGTTGATCAGATATTTAACAACAAATACACAGCCAGCGAGTCGCTTGATTTACTGCAGCCCTCTCCCACTGCTACCATGGTAACACTGTGATACTCGCGCCCACCACTCTGAGATTCGCGGGCACAGTCAGCAGCAGGTTGCAGCAAAACTTGTGTTTCTTTCTACTGACTGGAATGGAGTTGACAAAAATCCACCAGACTTCTAGAAGGTAAGTCATATACGTTCGTTGTTAATAAAAAGGAGCTGTGGGAGTACTTATTCATAAATCACCCAACACATGTATAACACAAAACAAGGTTATTTTAAATGTTGTTTGAAGTTAAATGTTAACTATCCGTATTATATTCACTTCAGATGAATAGTATCATAAAAAAATAAAAATAATAAGAAACCAAAGGACAGTATATCAGTAGGTGATTCTCTTTGCCATTGTTTTCATCTAGTCTATACTTTTACAAGGGGCGCTGCATAACTACGTAGCCTGTATTAAAGCAAACAGAAGCAGACGACATTAATTTATGCACTTATGCACTTTTTTTGAACACACTGAGAACATTAGACTTTTCGTGGCTCTCCAGGAGGCTTGGGCACCTTTTCCATGTATTAACTCCGGAATTTACAAAGCTGTCATCTCCACATTTGGAGAAAGTTACAAGCCGTTTGACAGCAGCAAATGTGCATATTTCACAGAAGGCTCGTTTAGTGGTTTTGCAAATAATTAACCACTCTCTGTTTTTGTACCATTCTGCATTGAAGTACCTTTCTCTTTGCCCAAAGGATCTAGCGGTCTCCTTTTTTTCTACAATTAGCTGTGCAGCTTTACCCGTCTCAATGTCCCCACAACAAACTGTTGTGTATTAGTAAAAATTAGGGCTGTCAAGTTAACGCGTTAATAATGCGTTAACGCCACTAATTATTTTAACGCGATTAACGCATGTGTATTTTTTTTCCTCGGCCGCCCCGTAGTTTCAGAGTGCATCGAGTTTAAAATACCATCTACAAGCTGATGCTGACAGCCCCGCTCCTGCCGCCCGCTTGTGGCAGACCACACTTCCACGCTCACCGGCAGGCACCGACTGGCTATCGGGAGGACCGGGAGGGTGTGTGTATGTGTGGCCCGAGCGAGCGAGAGAGAGACCTGACGTGCATTGTTGTTGTTAGCATCTGGTGCTAGCTAGCTGCGCTAACGGATATAAGGAGCTGTTTAAATGAAAACAGAGGAGCGCTCTATCCACACAACTGCGCCGAGCACTTGACTTTATGCAGGTAGCCAGACAGTGGGACATTGTACGAAAAGTCAGCACACTCAGCACGGATAGTGCGCGCAACATGATTGCAGCGTCCAGGCAGCTCCCGTTCGAGCATATGCCTTGAGTTGCACATAGCTCCAATGATCCATCACACACACACACACACACACACACACACACACACACACACACACACACACACACACACACACACACACACACACACACACACACACACACACACACACACACACACACACACACACACACACACCATTTGTATTGTATTATTGTATGAGAGAGGTTCCAGGTTGAATTGAGGCGAATATTTGTAATGTTCAGAGGTTGTTGTGTTTAATATTCATGAGAATATTTGTCATTGTTCAAATGATAATAAACATTAGCATAAAGCATATTTGTCCACTCATATGTTGATAAGAGTATTAAAAACTTGAAAAATATTCCTCTAAGGTACATTTAGAACAGATAAAAAATGTGCGATTAATTTGCGATTAATCACGATTAACTATGGACAATCATGCGATTAATCGCGATTAAATATTTTAATCGACTGACAGCCCTAGTAAAAATACATTAATGAACCACGGGACAGAGGATACGGATATAAGCTCTTTACTGTTGTTCATGCTTGCCCGCCACAGCATGAACTCCCGGGTAGAGATGGGTGAATCCTGATTCATCCGGATCATTAACCCGGATCCTAGTAATGAGCTGGTCGTGACGAGTCTCCCCTCTCGATTAACCCGAGTCCTTTGAGTCCTACACCTGGTGACGTACAAATTAAAACTATAAATTGCGTCACTCGCTACTCTCCTTATAACATGTCAAATCTGTGGTGGCCGGCAGGAACAATGGCCAAAAACGCATACATAAGCAGGAAACGCTGCATTTACAGAAATGCTGCAAACTAAATACAACCAGGCCCGGACTGGCCATCGGGAGATCCGGGAGGTTTCCCGATGGCCTGGCCTGCTAAGTGGCCTGCTGGCCTGAGGACTTCTTTTTTTTAATGTATGTCGTGAACGCAACGCTGCGCAAATGTGGGTCTGACTCTGCCTCACAGAGGGTGACTGGCTGTCTACATGATGTGGCCTGCCGACATGGCCACTTTCATACAGATCATACTAATGCCCGTCTCTGTGTGTCATTCAAGCTCGGGAGGGTGTGTGTTATGTGTGGCGCGAGCAGTGAGATAAAGCACGCGCACCGGTTACGTGTATTGTTGTTGTTGTTAGCATCTGGTGCTAGCTAGCTGCGCTAACGGATATAAGGAGCTTTTTCAACAACAAGGTGGAGGAGAGTCCTCTTATATACATATTATATTACATCCTTAGTGGCCAGGTAGACTGAGGGCGATCTACTGTACTCTACAGTGTGTAACTATTATTTAGTCATTCACACCCCTGTCCAGTTGGTGGCGAGTGTGTGCATATTAAGTAGCTATTGTCTAGTCTTGTTTTTGACCTCGTTGATTACCTCGTTGTTGAACCGGCTTTAGCAACCGCAAAATGTCACGGCAGCTGAGTGTCCGAAGCTTTTTTAATAAGCCCAGCGATTGTGATGGTGTTTCTGTGGATAAACGAGGTGAAAAAAGAGGGATTGGTGCAGTGGAGGATGAAGGACAAGCCAGTAAGACTACAACTGACAACGTTCAGCCAGCAGCAGAGGGACAAGCAAGTGGCAAGGAGTTGAAGCGGGAGTACCGGGTTCAGTGGGAGCAAGAGTTTAAGTGGCTGAGGAGGGAAGATGGCAAAATGTTCTGCGACATCTGTAGAAAAGCTAAGACGAGTAACGGATTTGTCCGAGGGTGCACGACGATGCAGAAATCAGTGCTGAATGATCACAAACGCAGCCATAGCCACATCGAAGCATCAAGGGTGGTCAACCAGAGCGTGGCAATGGTAAAACATGTGGAGAAATCGCAGGTTGCCTGTAACGAGGCATTAAAAACACAATTGAAGGTTGTGTTGCATATGGCAAACACAAACACCCCGAGCCACCTATATCCCAAACTAATATAGCTATTACAATCTGCTGGATGTCCAGACCTCAACAGTGCACACACGTACACCCACCATGAGACAGTCAATCAGATGGAGGAGGCGATAGCAATGACCATAACCAGCACTATCGATGACCGCATCGCCAACAGTAAATACGTCGGGGTAATAGTAGATGAGACGACTAATATCACGGTTGAGAAAATGCTGATCACATACCTGGCACTTCAGCATAAAGGGGAGCCTGAAACCGTGTTTATTGGCAATTATGTAATACCCTCTTGCACTGCAGAATGCATCACAACAAAAATAAAATATGTGCTATCGGGCCGTGGTGTAGCTATGGCTCGGGTCGTCGGTCTGGGAAGTGATGGAGCGAATGTGATGGTGGGTCGAAAGGCTGGAGTTGCACAAAAGATGTGGCTGAATGACTGTCCCTACCTCGTAAACATTCACTGTGGTGCGCACAGAACGGCACTGGCTGCGCGCGATGCCTCCAAGGCTGTGCGTGAAATAAGTGCATATGTTACGACAATTAATAACATATACACTTACTACAGGAATTCCCCCATTCGAACACACCGACTAAATGAACTCCAAAACGAAATGGAGGAACATGACCTGCTGAGCCTAAAACAACCATCAGCTACACGCTGGCTATCGCTGGAGAGGGCAGTTAAGGGCATACGTGCCAACTGGGTTGCTCTGGTGTTGGAGTTGCAGGAGGAGATTGATTGATTGATTGAAAAGTTTATTAACAGCTTGTATATTGGGTACAGTACAGTACAGCTCAAAACATACAATTGTTAAGGGGATGCAGACCAGAGAAAGACTTTCGTCTTGTTTACATCAGGGTCCCCCATTTCCAATTCATCATATCATTTAAGACATATAAGACATATTTGACATACAGATGGCTTATTTACAATTTACATACAGGTGGTTTTTTACATACAGATTGCTTATTTACAATTTTCATTTTAGATTTCGTTCTAATACATCCTAACCGGACATTTAAGACATACCAAGTCTACAGATATACAGTTAGTAACAGAGTCTAAAATGCGAGTATATACATAGATGGGGGGGGGGGAAGCTGTCCATTGTACGACAGGTTGAGATTTGTACCATTACCGGGGCCAGTTTTGCAATGCTCTCCCCCGAAGGTGCTCTTTAAGAGAGGTTTTGAAGGTAAGTATAGTTTTACTTTCCTTTACAGTTGTGGGAAGAGCGTTCCACCTTGATGTGGCATAATTGCGAAACGTGTATTCCCCCTTTTTTGTGCCAAATCTGGGTTTCACATGATTTGTGGAGCTCCCTCTGGTGTTATGATCATGGTATTCCTTGACCTTTGGGAAGAATTTTGACATGTACATGGGTACCATAGAGGTG